CATAACGACGCCTCCGTATCATCCGAGGTCTAATGGACTCGCAGAAAGATTTGTCGATACTTTAAAGCGTGCTCTGAAGAAAGCCTCAGGAGTTCCAACGGAAAAGGCGCTTCAGCAATTCTTACAAGTATACAGAATCACGCCAAACCAGAGAACACATTCAAACATGGCACCAGCTGAACTAATGTTCGCTAGGAAAGTTAAGTCAGTGTTTGACAAGCTTTTGCCAGGAAAAAATACAGTAAAAAATACCATGTATACAGCGAGAAAAAGATATACTCCCGGAGAGAAGGTGTTTTTCAAGTGCTATAAAAACAACGTTGAGTTCTGGGAACGAGGCATAGTGGACAAGAGAATCGGTGACCTGATTTACATAATTAAAGGGCCGAAGAATACTTATAAAAGGCACCAAAACGAACTTAAAAAAGATTACGGTATAGAGCAAGAAGAGTGTATACCGGATGAGGACGATGATCCCATTGATATAATGTATGATATGTTTCAGGTAGAACCTCCACAGAATACACCTGAACCAAGAAGATCCGGTAGGAAACGGAAGTTGACGGACCCATTGAACGTGAATCCAAAACGGAAAAAAAAATATTAAAATTAGGCAAATGGATCTACAAAGAAATAGCCGTAATCATCAACCCATATAGGAAGCCAATTTGAAATCCAAAAGGGATTCCAAGGCTTGGGAGGAGGGTGTTGTGTATGATACACCTAATTTACATAAGTGGAGTACCGACCATATAAATATGGGTTGGTACCGGAAGACGACGGAAGATTAAGAGATCGAATCCAGAGACTCTGCCCGACTGCGACTTAGCCAACCCATTCTGCAGGAACAGTCTTCCCAAGAATATACCAAAACTACCTGTAAATATTGTGTACCTTTTTTCATTGTTTCAATACATTTTGTTACGTACATTTTGTGTTGTATTATTATTATTCCATGCTTATTCAAGCTTCAACAATATATGAAGAAATATACTCTTAAGGTGTACTATATTGATGGGATAATGGGCTCAATATCAGAGATAAAAGCGTGTGTAAAAATAAAAGTGAACATTGAAGTCAACACTTAGAGGCCTCTAATTGTTGACTTCAATGGTCACTTTTATCCCATAAATCCCATAAATATAGCACGCGTTAAGAGTATATTTCTTCATATTCAGCTCCTGATAATCAGTAGAGTACTTTTGCTACATTTATAACACAGTATGGTCATAGAAAAATTTAGCCTCGACTACTCCCTAAAAACATACCCATCCCATCCCCTTCCATATATAAGCTAAAAGTAATTGTAAAACAGAAAGTTACATAAAAGGAATGAGATGGAAAGTCCACTTCTTTTTAAACCAGGACCTTCACAATAACAATATTTTTTGTAAAAAAAAATACGGCTTAAAAATCAAAAAATGCACCCCGCAACAAAAAGAATTAGACGACTTCAAGAAAGCCTTAATTGACCTAGTTAGAAACGTAAAATTCCATAAAAAACAAGATGCATTGAAAAAAGTCAAAAAGAACATATAACTAAAATAAAGAATTCAGCAAATGTGTTTATCGCAGCTGAAAAACTTGAAATGTATACAAACTAAATTACTCATGAACAACATAACCAAAAACATACAAAAAAACACCAAAAACAATAGAACATGATATCAAAAAGGAAGCTAAAGCAATCGCCCAAAAATTAGACCTAGATGACCGAATAAGTTGCGTCAGCAAGGCGCAGGCCTTTATCATATTGAAGACCATAAGGAAAATTTCAAAACCAACTCTGCATCCAGACTCATAAACCCAGCCGAAGGTGAACTAGGTAAAACAAGTAAAACGGTACTAGAAAGAATTAATTCTTAACTTAGGAAGAAGTTAGGAGTAAACCACTGGAAAAACAAAATAAAAAACAACTATTGACTGGTGCCACAGTATAAATAACAAATTGCCAATTCCTATTATTAGACATAAAATAATTTTACCCATCCATAACAGAACCCATGCTAGATAAGGCCATAAACTTAGCTCAGGAACAAATAATAATAAAACCAAACGAAATCGACATCATTAAACACTCCCGTAAATCATTACTATTTCACAATGAAGAAGCATGGATAAAGAAAGATGGGATCCTTGACATTACAATGAGAAGCTTTGACGGTGCTTAATGGGAAATCATAGGTATATACGTACTACACTAACTAAGCAAAATAATAGATATAAATGACACAGGGACGATGGTATCATAAGCTTAAGAAACTGTATCAAACAAAACGCAAACAAAACTAAAAAAACAAGAATATTTTAAAAAAAATAACGGTTTCGACATAGATATAAAAACTAACCTAAACGAAGTAGAATTTCTAGCTGTTACCTTCTACCTAAGAAAAGGCACATATAAACCATACAGAAAACCCAATGACAAACTACTCTATATACACACATCTTCCAATCACCAGCCTTCTATAATCAAACAGATAACAAAATCGATTAACTGCAGGCTTTCCGACAATTCCTCCAATGAATCCATATTTAACAAAGCTAAGAAAGACGACGAAACAGCCCTAAAAGATAGTGGATTCCCAGCAACACTCACATACTCACTACAGAACACAAAAAAGGCCAACGAGAAAAGAAATATCACATGTTTCAACCCACCGTACAGCAAAAACGTAAAAACAAACGTAGAAAAAATATTCTTCAAATTCTTACACAAACACTTCCCGGAATCAAGCACCCCACGCAAAATATTCAACAAAAACACAACAAAAATCAGCTACAGTTGCACCGAGAACATGCCACAAGTAATAAAAAAAGCACAACAGGAATACTATCAACAAACCACACGAACAAATTTAACCCACGTGAAATTGTAGAATAAAGAACGAATGTCCCTTAAAAGGTAATTACTTACAAAACATGGTAATATACTAAGCCACGATAAAATCACCAGATAATGAAGAAAAAGTATACATAGGAGTAACTGGGACCCTGGAAAAAAAGAAATTATGCACACAAAATATCTTTCACAAATAGTACATACGCAAACAGCACAATGCTTTCTAAGTATATCTGGGAAATTAAAAATAAACCATACATCATATCAAAAATATCTTGGAAAAGATCATCAGCCTACAACAACCAATCCAAACCTTGCAAACTTTGCTTGGAGGAAAAAATAGCTATCATTACCTTCTCTGACCAAAATAAATTATTAAATAAACACTCCGAGCTCATCTCAAAAGGCAGACATGAAAAAAAATTTTACTACGTTACTTAAAAATCGAAAACTAATAAAATAAAATAAATAAATAAACAAAATGACAATAAAATAAGTAAAATAAATTAACCCAAACAAATTACCAAATCACACACATTACAATAGACGAAATAAAATAAATAAATAAAAAATAAAAAACTAAATCAATGAACCCAAACAAATAAATTAAATAATAAACAAATTAACAAACCATTATGACCAAAAATATTAGTTAGACTATAAAAATCAAACCAAAAATCGGATGAAAAACATAGCTATAACTGTTATATAACGAGAAAAAAGTACCACGTTACTTAAAAGTCTAAAACCGAAAAGAGTAAATAAAAATATACAGTATAATAAATAATTAATAAAATGCAAGTAAAATAAATTGATCTAAATTAAACCAAATAAATAAACAAACTAACAGACCGATCCCGATAAATTAACCGATAGAAAAAACAAGTAAATATAATCAAGGCAAATAAATAAATGAAGTAATAAACAAATTAACAACTACTCCCGCCAAAATAATTGTTAGAATAAACTACAGCAATCGACCGCAAAATTGAAAATAGCTTCTAAAACCAAAACAAAACTATTAAATAAGCGATATAAACAAATTTTAACTACGTTAAAAAAAAATCCATTAAAATAAAAATATTTAAATATATAAGATAAAAAATAAATAAAAACAAGGAAAATAATTTAACCCAAATATATAAATAAAAAAATAAACAAATAAACGACTTCCGGCAAAATAACCGCAAATAGACTACCCACAATGCATCACTGACCCTTTATATATAAATAGCCGAGAAAAAAAATGAAAAACACTCGTGGCCTGACGATTGCATCTAGGATGGAACAGACTGTCAAAAAAAGGCCTCAAAGTGTTGAATTCAATATTCAATTTATATATATATATATATATATATATATATATATATATAATATATAATAAAAAAGAGAAAAGAGGCAGACAGTGTGACAAAGAATGAAAATGATCGATATACAGGTATTTCGTATATGAATCTGGGCGTCAAGGAAAACGGGAACTTATTCGGTTTTCAATTCTTATGTTGCATGTCACAGTGAATGATGAAAGAATTGAAGAAACAAAGATAAGGTGTCAAACAAATGAGCATATATACAAAAGAACACACACGTATCTGGATGTCTGTGTATGTGTGTACGCTTACGTGCATGCGTGAGCACGTATGTGTATAAGCAGACCTGAACTCTTTCCCAATAAGAACATATTTAGGCATATTCTAACATCACGTTTAAAATAAGATAGTATTTTGGTAAAGTGAAAAGATTTATAGCTTTTGTCAATTGCATCTCGTACACACACACATACATATACATATACACACACAGACACACACATATATATATATATATATATATATATATATATACCATTTGTAGTGCACTATTTCCAGGTAGTTGGGACTCATACCTCCCACTTCTACTCTATTTTCATTTCTGTCAGAAACTTAACCTTCAATTAAATCTCTGTCAATTCCTTCAACGTGCAGTTTGTCAAACTGTCAGTGCATTCCACAGGGCTTCCAAACTGTCGACATGACTTTTTTTTTTCTATTTATATAGATTTTCAGAGCCGACTTTCGTTATTTTCCCCTTATGTTTTCTCTTTTAATCTTATACGGTTTTTCGCCGGTTCGGTTTTATCCATTTCTTTAATTCTTTTCCTCTTTTCTATTCCATTCTCATGTTTTTTCCCAATATTTTAACAGTTTATTTCTCCCTTCTTGTCTGTCTTCAGGTAGTGCTTTCGTGCGACGTTTAATAAAAGAATCTCCTAGGAAAATTGTTGATGCTTTGTAGCCTCATTGTAGAGTTGTCTATAATGACCTTGTGCCAGACCAAACAAAATTTAATTATGCCATTTTTTTTTGTTTTTTTGTTTATTTTTTTTTATTTTGTTTCTACTTTTTTTAAAATTTTATATTTGGTATTTTCTTTGCATTTTTTAATTTTTTTTTTTTACCTTTTTCTATCTTTGTAATATTTCTAAGTTTTTCTTTAATTTGCTCCCACTCTCTTTCATTTATTTCATCATTTCTCTTTTCAGTTTTCTTTCTATTTTCTTTCTTCTTCCTCTGCTCCTCCCTTTATTTTTCACTAAGATTTTCCATTGTTTTTTTCCTCCCCCACACTTTCTGAATTCTTTCTCTCTTTTATCATTTATTGTTCATATTTTTTTTCTTCTTATTTTTCCTTTAATTTTTTCTTTCGTTTAATTTTTCAGTTTTGATTTTTTCTTTCTTCTTTTTCTCTTTCTTTTTTTCCTTTATATCATATTCTCTTCGGCATTTCTTCTTTCTTTCTCTTATCATTTACGTTTCATTTCCGTTGATTCTGATATCATTATCTTCTTTGCAGTTCCTTTTTTCTTTTCTTTCTCTTCTCTTTATTTATATTTATCATTATCTCTTCATTATTTCTTCTTTCTTTTATTTGTCATTTACCTTTTCACTTTTCTTTATTTCTTTCTTCTCTTTCTCTTCCGTTCTTTATTTTATCATTTACCTTTAGATTTTCTTTTTTTTTCTTTTTCTCTTTCTGTACCCTTTACTTCTTTTACCATTTTCCATTCAGCATTTCTTCTTTCTTGCTTTCTTTCTTTTATCATTTACCTTTTCATTTTTCCCTCTTTTTTCCTCCGTTTACATTTCTTTAATTCTTTTATCATTTACGATTTTCAGTTTTTCTTCTCTTCTTCTCTATCTTAAACCTTTATAATTTTTTCCCCTTATCTCTAAACTTTAATACTGTTCCATTCTTTCTTTCTATATTTTCCCTAAACTTTAGTACTTTCATTTATTTTTTTCTTATATTTTTTTCCTTTTTTATCCTTACCTTTTATCTTCGTTTCATCTTACTTATCTTCAGATTTATTCTTCAGATCTTCAGATTTTCTCTTTATTTTTCTTTCAAAAATAAAGATATAAACCTATATTCGCATGAAGGTCAACTCGCAAATAATCACATAAACACTCACGTATAAATTTATGGGATATGTGTGTTGATTTTATTCCAGCCTTTTACTGTTTATTTCTCTCCATGATTGGTTTAACAAACGCTAATCTTTACCGTTATTTTTTTATCACACATCTGAAAAGATATATGTCAGATTTAAAAACTGTTTCTTTCTTAAATTGTTTTTGATACATTTTTCCTCTGGTTGGTGGAAAGTGTCTCAGTTAGTGTTTGCTCTAAATTCGAAATAAATAATTGTTTGCCAGGCACCTCACATTTGCACTGAAGGTTTTGACTCTATAGACATATTTAACAGTTAGTAAAATCATGCACTTATAAGAAATGCTATAATTGTACCTTATTTTACCCAGCTTTCTGTGTTTTTCACCACTGTCTTGAAATCGGAGAGATGTGTTCGAATTCCGGTGGAGCGAATTGCGTTTATGTTCGCATGCATACACTTGTGAAACGTATGAATGTACCTCTTCCCCCTGCTGTAGATGAAATTGCAAGTAAGTCTGGTATCATAGCCTTTGTTAAATGCCAGTTCAGAAAAGTTCACTCAATAAAAAACAACCATCACCCAGCAACCTTTGTCACTAGTGAGGAATGGGTTTACAAGTGAATTTTTTTTCCATTATATTCCCTATTCCTTCAAGACATGGACGATCATGACTCTCCACAATTTCCTTTGGCTTTGTGTAACCTTTCTCTTTTCGTTATCACATTTGGTCCGGTGTTCCTGCTATATATCTAGAAATCCTCGATAAAATCGAAATAAGAAACAGCAATATTATTGATCCTTATCTCATCTTCAGTCAGTATCCCACCACCGTCGAGTTGTCTCCCTGTGCTTTTTCTATAAATACTTTCATGGTAATTGTTCGGATGAGCTCTTCGCTATGTTACTTACAGTTTTGGAATCTAGGCACAGTACTAGACAGGCGATGAGTTCTCATCAGTTTACAGTTGAGTTGTTATATGTCACCGAAAGTTCTAAGTTAAGAGTTCCTTTTCTCTTACTTCTTGCTTGTGGAACTGCCTTCCGACACCATACATTCTAGGCAACTTTAATCAACAAAAATATTAATGCAATATCAATCGCTATCTACTGTCCACCAGATTACTCTTCTTTTGTTCACTCTCCTTAATAATGTTTCTGATTTTAATTCTTCCACACCCAGTTATCCCTTGTGTCATTGTCAGATTTACTACCTTGCTTATTAAAAAAGAACTCTCTTGATCACAGTTTTGTCCTCCATGGACTTGTTAAGTCGATTAATAGCTGTTTTCCGTTTACTAGCTTTCACTTTCACTTTTCACTTTCATTGTTAGTGTCAACTTATCTACGCCCTCTTTCGACATTATGTTTACTAGGGATTTTAATTGACTCTTTCTCATGATAAGTATCTTCTTCTTAATGTGTCGTGTCCCCTCTAGACGTAGACGCTCATAGCTTTCCACAAATTCCTGTCACGTAGGTTTTAATAAACTAATAGGTCTTTCTTCTCCTAAGCCCTGTTTCACCATCCGTTTTACTCAAGCTCATTATGTTATCCATTGTTTTCCTCTGCCTCACTTGCCTTCAATTTGTCCCGTGTGTATAAGGTTTTCCAAGCCGTCTTTCCTCATTAAGAGTCTCGGAAACCTCAACTGTTTCTTCCTGATTTTAAGTATTAGTTTCCGTTTTGGTTCTATTTTCTTCAAAAGTTCGCCGTTACTCACATGATCGGTCCATATTCCTTAAAACTTTCTCGTCACTCATATATTCAGTCGAGAGTAATGTCAATACCCTTCTGTACAACCAAGGATTTATTAGTTCAAAGTTTTTTCTTCATAGATGAGGTGATTGCTCAGCATTCACTGCCTTAGAGGATGACTAACATTGCATGACAATTTAGTACGCCGTTCTTTGTTTCTAGCGAATTTTTCCTCTTTCTTAATACAGTGCTTCGCATTTGGAAGAAATATTTCGCTATTCGAATGCACCTCAAGTCATGTGATTTCCGCAATTATCTTCTGGCGGAGAGAGCGTCTACTTTTAACTCTCTCTTAAAGACATATATTAATATTTGCGATGGGTAAAAGGAAAAAGAAGGACTGAACTCCGAAGTGGTCCAATCACTCCATCATTAACAGACCCGGTTGGCTCTGCTAAGAGCTGTTTTTATCTCGAATCTGTCGATATAGATATGTTACTGTCAGACTTTGCTCCTTCGTCAATGAATTTCGTAAGCATCATTGGACAGGCAAGGTAATTATGAAAAATGGATTACTCAAATACATTCCTATTTTTCTGCCTATTATCGCACCGAGTCAATGACAAGACCATAATCAAGATGGCTGACGATCGAATAAACCATAGAAAAACTTGCATGCATGCATATTTTCTTATAAAGATTAGAAAGTGATATAAGTTGTGAGTTCAATTCCAGGGCTGGTTAGTGCTGACTGAGATCTAGTGGAAACAGGACCCGCAATCATTGAGCAAAAGTAAAAAAAAAAGAAAAAAAAAAAAAAAAAAAAAAAGAAAAAAAGAGGGACAAATGAGATATACCTAGACATAAACAGAGAGTCGCACGAAGTTTAAATAAAATGCAAAGTTCGAATTTCTCTGAAGGTTATGCAAATCAAGAGAAACCGGAAGAAAACCAAAGAGCCAACGGTCGAAATCGTAATGACAACAGCGGAGGATATTTAGTCGAATGTAAATAGTGATATAAGCGATCTCCACCGGAACTCGAAATGTATTCGCAGATTCCGTTCTACAGGATCGTAACCATTGCACCAATTAACACTTCGCGCGCGGAAAAGCACGCACACACATACACACACGCAGACAGATGTGTTGTTTACCAGTTGCTCGAAATTTGAATTTCTTTTACGTGTGTCCATATATTAAATCAATTAATTCAAATAATCATTTTCCACTGAGAATGTCTTCCTTTTTATTTGGTTGAAGAAAAACAAATGGTATTTCTCTTCGATCTTTAACCTTAGAGGCCTTACATTCTCATCTCAGTAATTCTAACTTGGATATATTCGACAGTTTATTCTATAGATACATAACTATCAAATTATATATATATATATATATATATATATATATACACACGTGTAAACACCTATGCACCAAATATGTTTAAAAATATATGAACACACACTTATTTCTGAATAGACACACCTTGCATATGCACATATATTAAACCATAAATGATGTGTGCGGGTATATATATATATATATGTGTGTGTGTGTGTGTATGTATGTATGTGTGTGTGTGTGTGTATTTATGTAGCAATCATTCTTTCATGCACATTTCATTTAATCCGACAGATGAGGTGCTTTAATTTAGTTTTTTTATACAATTTATCATGTGATCTAATATTTTTTTTCTTTTCGGATGTTAAATTATTTAAAAACATATAAATATGTATAAATTATATAAATACATTGACACAACAATAAATTTCTTGTTAACAGTTAATATATTTCAACCTTAAAAATGGCTAAATGTATAGCCGAAAGCGCTCGAATAAAAAGAACAATCGTAGAGTTCTTATAGAATTTAGCGTCCCAAAAGTATATAAATATATATATATATATATATATATATTAGATTACATTAAAAAATTGTATAAAAGCTAAATCAAAGCATCTCGTCTGTCGTATTCAATGAAATGCATATATATATATATATATATATATATATATATATGTGTGTGTGTATTTATATATATATGTATGTATTTATATATATATATATGAAGAAAAATATATACGGAAAAAACAAAACAAATCCTTATATACGATTATGTTGTTTTAATGTTAATATGGCAACGTCTGACGTTTCGGACTAATAAACCATCTTCAGGACATATTCATAAATATAACATTATCAATATAACATGACAAAGACGATTATTATATATTAACATTAAAACAACATAATCGTATATAAGGATTTTTGTTTTGTTTTTTCCGTATATATTTTTCTTCATACTGTCGGATCTATATCCATATATTTTACACACACACACACACACACACACACACACATATATATATATATATATATATATATATATATATATATATATATATATATATATATAAACAATGTAGCGTATCAATTTACATAAATTTTCAGAAATTGTATCTCTGATCTTAGTTTTATTAAACAACATTTCATAATAAACATAGCTATGTACATAATATTAGGCAGATATTAGTTGATAACACAACAAGCATAACACGATATCATCTTTAATGGTGAATATCTTTGTTTAAATATGCATATAATCAGCCTAAAGCTATTTCATTTGAGCTTAAAGCTTAGATCAGGGAACAGCATAATAAAAACATATCCAGACATTGGAAAGTTTTATCGTTATTTTCTCCCGAAATTGAAGCAACTATACGACGTTTAGAACGGCTCATTATCAAACATAATAGATATTCGCTATCTGTTATAATTACAATATATATATATAAATATATGTGTGTGTGTGCGCGCGCGCGTGTGTGTGTATGTGTGGATGGATGGATGAAAGAAAGAGAAATGCCCTCAAACATACGATGTTCTTTCAGGACTGCAGTAAGGATGCACTGAAAAATGCAACATTCCTTGTGAGCACTGGATAGAATGTGCATCTGATCGCAATAATTGGAATGAGGCTGCTCAGAATGGAACGTGTCACATTGAGGAGGAGAAGAGGAGGCAGGCATGGTTTGAATGAGATGTGCGTACAAGCG